CATCTGTGCTTAAACAGCTTTATGCTTACAAACAGAGCCTCAGCTCTCCCATTTGGCATTATTTGCACACAAACACTAAGAGTGCCACACAACACACACATTCTGTGTCCAGAAGCTAAAATAATATTCAGTTAAATGTCATAGAAAATGGCAAATTTTCACATTTTAGAGGCTGCAAGTAGTTGTAATTTGCTTCTTAAAATGTAATGTAATGTAAATGTACTACACCCTTCAGAATCTGTCAGCAAGGACATTGCCCATAATACATACAATGTAAACACCCAAACATTTAGTTTTGTTTGGTGTGTTCTACGCTGTCATAAAACTGTCTACACATAAACTTAAACTAAAATATCTACTATAAAACAAATAAACAAAAATACACACATTCACAGTCCAGCATAACAAAGAGTGGAACACAATAAACTACCGACTATACACAGCCCGTAACACAAGTGTCGTGCATTAAACTGAGGCATGACCCAAGGCACAAACACTCAAAGGTAAAATATTTCATCAGTTGTTAGTTTTCAGATCTAATTAACAGGCAACGATTTATTCATGTTTTTTATATTATTGGTTACAAAAAAACAAGCAAATTGAGGAGGCCACCTTTAGGAAATAATGTACCATTTTATAGATATTTTAGCAGGAAATGTTGCAGCATTTATTATTACACTTCCAGGCTGGCAGTTTTTTTTGTTTGTTTTTTTTTACCCTTCTTTACCGTTAGCGTATGTAGAGCTGTGACACATGACCACACAGATTACTGCACAGTGGAAACAATTAGTTGAGTGACAAAGTCTTGGTCTTTGTTTCTCATTTATCAAAGCATAAATACCAATGTTTCCTGGTCCCACACCTCTCAAAATTGAGTGTCAATCCTTGCTTCAAGTCTAAATGTGAACTAAATCTAAAACCTGTGGGCGTCTGAACCCGAACACGGGGTGCTTTTGATGGGAGCTGTTAAAAGTTTTTCGTGTTAGTGAGGACTAATTTGTTCCTCTGCAGATACAACCTAGTGTGTTGTGACTGTACTATTTAGGCATTTACATCAGAAACCATACTGGGCTTCAGGCATGCTTGTAATTGTCATTAAAAACACATGTACAGACTGAAACCACACTTGGAACCTCTGTTTGTGCAAAGTTCCCCACGTGTTGGTCTTTTTCTGACTTCTCACTGAGATTTTCTTTATCAATGAGTAACACATAAGTCACAAAATTAGTCTGATCAAATGTTAAGTGGCTACAATACGCACGGTCTGCCAACATGAACTTTTTTTCAGTTTTGCTTTTACAGCAAACTCATAAACTGCAGGCGTTGTCATGCTTTACAATGAACAGAAACAGCTCAGTGTGATTGCTCTTCTTGTTTCTCTTCTCCTTTTTTTTAATGAGTGATTTTTGACCATTTCAAAACTGTCGGTCTCTGCGATTTCAGCTACCTTACCTACACAAAACCAGAATTGTGGCAGAATTAAGTTTAGCTTCACAGAAAGGTAGCTCTGCTTTGTGCAGGCTTTAGCTTAGTGCCACACTAGTCTGCTCCTCCCTTGTGTAATCTTAGCCTTGCACATACATCCCACTTGTGCGCGCACACACACACACAGGTTTTTCAGGTCATGTTAGTTTTTTAAAGATCAGAAGGTGAGAACAGAAGCTAAGCTAGCAGCAGTGGAAATGGCTGCTACATGACACTAGTGCTTAGAGATATAACCCAAATAATAACTACTACTGATAAGCTTTGAGTTTTATAGCACAGGTCTTAGTATAGTGTGCCATTAATGCAAAATGCATGCAAAACTCTGTAAAGGTGTGGTGCGTCACAGTAGAGATATTATGGGTCACAGGAATGAAGACGAGGAAAATCTCTTCTGCTTTTTGCAGTCAGATTTTGGTTTATGTGGAGAACCACACACACACACACACAGATAAAGAAAGGCATCTGGGTCTGGGCAGTGTCATGTCTAGGCTTGCACTAATTCCGCACAAACAGCGTCAGGACAGCCTAGAAAGAACACCCCCCTGCGCACACACACACACACACGCACACACACACACACACACACCTAGCCACACTTCTGTATACATCAAAGACACACTTACAAACACGTGTCTACTGCAGTACCAGACACTTGCATCCTGTTTCAGTTTCTCAGAGCAGACTGAGCTTGTGGACGACATGCGTTTTATTAAAAAAAAAAAAAAAAAGACTGTGTGTGTCAGCTAAAGTGAGATTTTGTGCTGCTGTTGTAGCTCCATGCCACAGCAAATGTCCTCTATAGAGCGCAGTAATAGCAGTTAAAGTGTATTTCATGCATACTGTACTGTTTATGATTTAGAGTGACTGCATCTAAGAAATTGTGTCGAATTAACAGAAATTCCTCCTCTGTCCTGTCGCAGGGTGAGTCGGTGAAGTATTTCTTGGATAATCTGGATAAGCTTGGCCAGCCGGTAAGTTGTTTCTGCCTGCACAGATTGTTATAATCAGATGTGTACATGTTATAGTTAATACTGCAACATGTCTAAACAGTTTAAGGGTAGCTGACAGAACAACCAGGGTGGTTGTTGACCTCTTGGCGAAGAGGTGTTTTGTTGTAATGTCATACTTTGCTGATTTTTCCAAAGCTTGCAACTGTCGTCTCTACATAGATAAGCCCCCTGCTTGGACACAGTTGAAAACCTACAAGAAATGTGCCTGGTGTGAATGAAATATTGCCCCACAATGGACTAGAACAAGACCACACGCTACCTATATCCAAATATTTGTAAAAATAAAGTTTGCAGAAAAGTTACAAATCAGTGGCCTGTTGATTCTATGAAAAGCAAATTCATATTACTTTCAGCTGTTGCATGTTTTTTTTTTGCTTTTCTAAGCATTGATGTGCAAGCAGAGGGCCGGATTGTGTTTCTCATGTTTGTTTGCTGTGTCTTTCTCTGTCTCCACCAGAACTATCTCCCTAGTCAGCAGGACATCCTGCTGGCCCGCAAGCCCACCAAAGGCATCCACGAGTATGACTTTGAGATCAAGAATGTTCCCTTCAAGATGGTGGACGTGGGAGGTCAGCGGTCAGAGCGACGACGCTGGTTCGAGTGTTTCGACTCGGTCACCTCCATCCTCTTCCTCGTCTCCTCTTCTGAATATGACCAGGTGAAAGCACGCCGCTGATGTGACATGGCATCTTATTTCCTCTCTGTCTCTCTCACACACACACACACACTTGTACTTCTGTCTTTGTAAGGACACTCGTTGACATAATGCATTCCCTAGCCCCTTATCCTAACACCAAACCTAATTCTAACCTGAACCCTTAAACCAAGTCTTAACCCTCAAAAATGTATTTCACAAAGTAAGGACCAGCCAAAATGTCCTCTCTCTGTAGCAGAAACCTTTTTTGGTCCTCACTATGTAGCTAGTACATAAACATACACAGGCTGATAAGTGTCACATTAGTCTGTTTGTTCTAGCTGATTATGTTTGGTGACTTTTTGTTAAGTTGTGATCACTGTGTCAATACGTGCACTCGTATTCTGTGCAGCTGTTGGGATGTACTGCTGTGATTTGTCTCGCAGCATGTGTAAAATGAACAAACTATACCTGAATTTTCTTCACTATATAAGAAATAAAGGCAAAGTTTGTTTTTGTTTTTTTTTTTTAAATAGCAACAGCTGGTTGGCCAGTAGTACGATTCAGTGTGGTGTTCATCAGCTTTACACAACATTTCGGCCTGATAAATCTCATGTTGGTCTTAGTTTTTGGTCATGGTTTGTTACGTCTACAGTAGAGCAGGGAAAACAGTAAAAATGCCTTTGCCGTCTCTGTTTTTCATTGTACACGTTAAAATTGTACACAGTGGATAGAGTATACTGCTCACATGAAGGAAATAGGCCTCAGCTCACACTTGGTTCTGATACTTTTCGGGCTCATACAGTATAATATGCACATCTGATGAAGAGGATGCCCTAAGTTTGTTCATTATAGAACAAAGATATGCAAACTTCACAGTTGCTCCCTGGTTAGCAAACTATATAATGGCCACACTGTTTCTAAACGACACATACCCCCATGTATTTGTGACAATACCAACCCAGCTGTTGTGTGTTGGGTCTTACAAGTAGCGTTAAAGCTCTCTAAGCAGTCTGCTCTCTGTAGCAGATCATTGTTACATATCTACAGCATCAAACACTCCTGTTGCTTTGTTTTTGTTGCCTTGGCTCTGGATCCACAGTCAGAGGCTGTTCAAACACTAAGCCGGGGTAGGATCCCAGTCAGTTTTTGCCTTGTTGCTGTAAGAGGCGCTCTCAGATGATGCCATCTCAAATGGATTAGCATGTTCAATATGTTTTCACGGATGTACTCTGTGAACAATGTTGGCAGACTGTTTTTGAGTTGGAATTTTTAAGTTTCCCAGTCTACCCACTCCAGTGTCACTGGAGCTTATTGGGAAAGATGATGCGTGCAAATAACACAGACAGCTCTTGAGCTGTATCATTTGTGTTTACTTTACTGACAACATTATGGGCTGTTCATCAACAAATTAACCCGACTTGCATTGTTTAGCCAATGCCAAAGCTTTCAGGTTGGAACTCTTCAGAATTAGTTTTGCATGTGCTTAGACTTGATTCACAGGATAGAAATTGGATACAGTTTGGGACTGTTGCACAAACTGAGACACCTTGTTTGATATTTTTTTTTTTTTTTAAGCCACAAAGATCAGAGAGGATATGCCATCCAAAATTAAAGTCTATTTGTGGGGGCTCCGTTAATTTTTTTTTCCAATCTTATTAATAGTTTCATTCCATTAAGTACAATAACTACAGTAGTAGCTGTTGTTAATGTGTCTGTTGTCTCATACAGGTGCTGATGGAGGACAGGCAAACTAATAGGCTGCGTGAATCACTCAACATCTTCGAGACCATTGTCAACAACCGCGTGTTTGTCAACGTTTCCATAATCCTCTTCCTCAACAAGACAGACCTGCTGGAGGAGAAGGTGAAGAGCGTTCCGCTCAAGGACTACTTTTCTGACTACACCGGGCCGGAGCACAGCCTGCCGGACATCCAGGCGTTCATGGTGGAGTGCTTCAGGGCCAAGAGACGCGACGCCACTCAGAAGCCCCTGTACCACCACTTCACCACGGCCATCAACACGGAGAACATCAGGCTGGTGTTCCGGGACGTCAAGGACACCATCCTCCACGACAACCTCAAACAGCTCATGCTCCAATGACCTCTGTCAACCTGTGAAAGTAGAGGACCTGAACAGGGCCAGACCACCCCCTCGCTCCTGAAGATGATTTGGGAGACGCCAGCCTCAGAAGAATCCGATAGATGTGTTCTTCAGCCATTTTTATGTTCGTTTTTACTCTCCTCTGAAGAGTTGGCCTTCTTGTTAGTCCAGGGCTTGATATGGGCACGAGTCAGTAGGGCAGACCCTCTGTGGTAAACAAGGAAGACAAACGGGCGGTTTGGATGTTTGATAACATCTCATCTCTGCTGCTTCGTCTTAAGACTCTCCTGGGGCCTGAGCTCTGCCTTACAGTAGAAGACTCACTGGAGCTTTTGACCTCACAAGGTGCCTGTGCTGGTCCCAGTGCCTGACATACTGTGGAAACCACCAGAACTTTACAAACTGGCAAATGGTTTCTAGACCAGATATACGGTTTGCCAAGCAACAAACATAGGTAATAACTATGCTGCAATACAGTAAGTACTTAGTTCAAACAACATGTAAGCAAAGCATCAGATGATAAAAATTTACACAGGATTATCTGTACCAGATTTAATTTTCCAGCCTGTGTCTAAGCACTGATCTCATCCAGTCCAAATTCACTCCATTATTTCTGTTGCACTCCCCAGTGCTGCTCAGTGAACCTTGTTGTTAAGGCCCTGCAGTCTATTGACAGGTTGCTTCTGATCTGGATCTGCACAGTATCATTTTTTCCCCACATACTGCAGCACTGTTCTCAGCCATCGCGTTTTTTCTTTGTCAGGTTGAATGTTCGGCACGGAGCCATCATTGATGGGACAAGGACTGATTGAAAGTAAAAGTGTTCAAAACAGTTGAAAATCAAATTTGGAAACTGGCTCCAGCACTGGCACCTTGTCTGATAAAAGCTAGAAAAATGCGTGACTGAATCTACAGTGTCTTTCTACGTAATGTCTCATAGAGACCAATCACTGTTTAAATCCTGCATTTGTGCCTGTCTCTTTAGAAATAAAGTCAGTCTTTGCTTCCTTAAACAGATAATTTAGATGCAAGTTTTCTTGCAAGTTGTCCTTTTATTTTTAGTTGGTTAGAAGGTAACAAAAAAAAAAAAAAAAAAATGGCACATTAGGCAGATGTGCCAGTAAGTGAACATGCAGTCCACTGTTTTCTCAGGGTTGAATCCAAACCGGCATAAATGCTGATCTTATTGTTGGTGAACTAATTTAATAATCTGATCTTAATCTGGGCGGTAGAGTGGTGAGACTCAACCAGGCTTCGGTATAGTTAGCTAGGTGGCGTATGGTGCTGTATCCTCCTGGCTTTGACCGCTGGCCCATAATCCCCCTGTATCTCTCTCTGTTTTCATCTCTGATTAGATACTAAAGGGACAGACCTGCCCTGTTTGACTGATGAATGTCTGTTAGTAGATGTACAGAGGTTTGGCCTAGATTGTCTTAATACACCGTAACCAACATTGTTGTGGTAAGATACAACCCATCATGTGAGAATTTCTGTTGACACTGAGAAACTCCTGAAATTTTTTTTTATACAGACAGCTTATGCTGTTTAGGATTTCCCTTTTAAATTTTTGAATTTGAGGGGAAAAAAAAAATAATTCAGACAAAAGCTACTGGAGTTGAATATTTTTGTCAGCCATCTTTGTTTGAGGACAACTTCCAGGCACGGCTATAATCTCAGTATCTCTGTTAAAGCATCCCATGCTTTCTTGGACTGTTCACATCAACAATATAGTTTTTCTCCAAATATAAACCACCTTTGAGCTTCACCTTGCTTCCAGTCCCAGCCTTGTACATACCGTAATCTGTTGTCATGTAAATAATATTCAGGTTGTCTTCTTATATGTAAATGGTTGTAGGAATGGCATTGTTTTCCATTCTAAATATGTTTAAATTCACTGCTTTTCCAATGAAGATGATCTCTTGCTGTAGATGTTTTGTCTAATTTTTCCATCACCTTTTTGAAATTCAGTCCTGTGTCAAATCTCATGCCACTCTAACCCTCTCAATAAATACACTTTTCTAATGAAATTAGGCCCCTCTTTTGGTTATTATACATAAGTAAATCTAGATTTTTCTTTGTAATTAATAACATTGGTCCAAACAATAAAAATGCTTTTTGTGCATTTGCAAACAAATGTGTATTTTTACTTAAAAGGTACACTAACTTAACTTTCTCAGGCTAAGTTTGCAGTTATAAGTTGAATATAGGATGATGCAGAGGGCAAAATATGTTTTACATTAATCTTATTTTAAAAGAGAAAAGCATACGAGGTGTTTAGAACCATAGGTGAGAGCAAAATCGGTTCGTGACCTATTCGAATACTACTTGAATCACAGAAAGACCGTGAGATGTGGCTGAAAGCCCTAGAAACATCAATTAAACATCTTGTGGAGAGATTTATTTTTGTCAAATGCAATATAATTGCTTTAAGTTGGCTTATTTGAGAAAAAAATACAATAATAGGCTTGCCACTGTCAAGAAAGTTCTTTTAATTTCATTAAATGTCTTGTTCTGCCAAATAAACACTACTGCCAGCAACTGAGATACACTTCTGTTAGAGACCACTAAAATCGTTGCGGTATTTTCGGGGATTTACGTTTACGCGAAAACGGAAGTGGGCAAGAATGAATCATCTCGATTACGACGCAGAGACGTTAAGTGAACACACCACACCCACTACATGTTCGTGTGGGGCGGTGTTTGTCCGCTATATAATGTATCATACAGTTCCGTTATAAGCCATGTGTTCATCTTGCCGTTTTAAAGACAACCATAAAATCAAACAGCATTTTTAAACCAGATGTTGCGACAGTTTGAATCATTTACATTCAGGCTCATCACGGGCTACCCCAAGGGTCCTTCATTGCACAGTTCAATATGTTTGCAACTCTGAAAATAAAGATCTGTCCAACTAAAATATTTCAAAGAGGCATTGGTGTGTGATGTGATGATCGATGATAATTGAGATTATTATCACTGCAGCAACTTTCCTGTTCTAACTTTTGGAACATGTTTCACTCCGACTGGCTATTTTACATATGTATTCAAAATGAGCTCAGGTAAGTGTTAAAACGGCAGAGAAAACATATGGCTTAATCGCAGCCAAAATTATATACATATGTATTATTATTTGTATCAGTACTTACAATGCAAGTAGACCTACTACACGCTAAGCAAGTTCTTCTGAGGGCACTTTCGTTTCAGTGATAACAAGGTCAGTTAATAAAGTAAAGCAAAAGTGCAATAATACATACTGTAAATGTTTTTCAATCAGATTTTGGTTGATATCAGTTTTTTGGTGTATCATAGGTTTATATACATGTAGCGTTTTTAATATAGTTGAGTAATTGAGTATCCGAGCAACATTCGATGAATCAGCAGCCATTTAAATAATTGGTTTATCGTTTATTTTCCAAGCAGAAATGTCCATGGTTCCAGCTTCTCAAATGTGCAGGTTTGATTAGCCTTGCAACTAAATTATTTTCATTATTAGTCAATCAGCTGATTTTATATTTTTTATTTTATATTTAATTTAATCTTTTGGTTATAAAACATCCAAAAAAAATCCATAACTTCACTGGGCTGAACATGACATCTTCAAATGTAATAGTTTGTTTGACCAAAAGTCTCAATATCTAGAAATATTTAGTTTACACTGATATATGACAAAGAAAAGCAGGAAATCCTCTCATTTGAGAAGCTGGAATCACCAAATATTTGTAAATTTAAAAAAATACCTGAATGATTATTTTACTGCCAAAATAGTTGCTGATTAATCAGTCGACTAATTCATTAAATGACTATTTTCTAACATTCTCAGATTAATTGATAATGTAAGTAATTGTAAGTTGGTCCCTGTGCATATTAACCACATCTAAACATTGTTTGAAACATACAGCAGCACTACTCTGTCACTGTTTGTCTCCACAGAGGTGTGCCCATTCTGTGGGAAAACTTACAAAAGGCTAAAGAGTCACCTGCCACATTGCAAGGCAGCAGGAAGCTCCAAACCACCTCCAACCCAACATCATGTGACGGCACAACAGACACCATCCTCTCAGGTGGCAGCAGCAAAGGAAAAGGAGTTAATGCAAACACCATCAGTGACAACAGATCTACATACAAAGAAGAGTAAAAAGGTGTCTGTGGTATCTGAACCACTGCAGTCTCCAACATCAGCAACACCTACTGAGAATGAAAATACATCTTCATCAAAGCTATTGTCCCTGAATTCTGAATCGCCTCCACCATCAGCTAAGAAGAAAAAACACAAGCTCTCTGATCAAATTAAAATGGCCGGCTCTTCCTCTCCCACCCTCTCTAAGCCAAACAAGAAGAGTCTCCTTGCAGTGATAGAAGCTGCAAAGTCCAAACGTGTTTTTAAGGAATTCCTGGAAGAAACCGGATCTGTATCAGAAGACCTGCTGTCAGGTTTAACCGATCATCTCAACTCCAGAACCACAGCACAACCAGAGACCAGAATGAATCCAGACAGCACCAGTCCTGCCCATATGTCTACAAACATTAAACCCAAAGATGTCCATAAAAAGAAGGCATCAAAGACAAAGAAGAAAAATACATCGGACCCTTCGGATGCTAAAATAAGGGAAAATAGCAGCAAGAGACCCAGTGCAAGAGACAGCTTCTGCATAGACAACAATGGGGAGGTTGAGGACTTACCTCTGAGTAAGATGTTCTTGAATTCAGAAAGTGGTCACCAGGCCAGGATCACTCTGCAGGATGTTAAAGCCATGTTACGTCGAGCTAAAACCACCGGTCAGTCCAGCAGGGCAAGCATGCTCAGTCAGACTGAAACTGTTGATGACCTCCACAGCAAAAGCAGACCTGGTACTAGTCTCAGTCCAGTAGCAGTCTCAGCAGAAAACCAAAAAGACAGCAGCTTGGTAACAACTAAAACGATGTCAGAGCAGCTGCCCAGCACTAGTTCACAACACACACAGCTGCACTCAGTTAAGAAAAAAAGTTCACAGTCTTTAATCCCTGTGCAAAGTGATTGTTCCCCTCAGCCCAAACTGGCCCACCCTGTTTCTCCCCTCCTCTCTGCCCTTGTATCATCTCAGGTGAGCCAACCTATACCTGTTTCACATCCAGTCAACATAAACGAGGGGCTGAAGGTGGGCCATCACAGGGCAGGACCCCTCTCAATATCACCATCACCCACACAGTTTTCCAGTCCTCACCCTTTCCTGCTTGCCCCACCCGTGAGGATGGAGGCATTGCGACCTGATGAAGGTCTGACGCCAGAGAAGTCGCAGCTCGACGTCAGGAAACAAAGCGCTGCTCACAGTCAAACTGAAGGTTAGTATTTGGCAGAGGATGCAGGGTTGGGCATCCAGCCTCAGCCTAGCTGACTCTGTGTCTGGTTAGATTCATGCTTAGAGCTGCAACAGTGAGTCAGTTACTCATATAATCGATTGACAGAAAAAAATGCCAAACATTTCCATTATTTCATTTGAACCCAGCAGTTTAAATGTGAGGATTGGCTGCTTTTCCTTATCTTACAGTACAGTTTCTTATATATCTTTAAACTGTTCTTTAGACAACACTAAACATTTACACTACCAGTCAAAGTTCAGACGATTTAACAATTAAACAATTACACTGGACATTTGTCACCCACCACATCCCTCTTCAGGATAAGCAGTATAGATAATGAATGGATGGATTTTTCCCATTTCCTCATGTTTTATAGACTGAGCAATGAATCAGTAAAATAACAGGCAGGTTAAATCATAAGGAAAATAATCAGTAGTTACAGCCTTTATTTAGTCTTTGATTAGATTGTTTCTGATTATTATTTTTATAATTTTGTCATTTTTAATCAGGCAAAGTTCCTGTTAGCATCATTGTGTTTGGACAACATTTATCAGTTTTGAGAACTTCTGCCTGTTCTGTTACATTTTAAAAAGAGTGTTGCAGAAGAACATGTTTATATTACTCAAAGCGAAATTCTAAAAACAGGATTGTTTTGGTTTCACTATTGAATGAACACTTGTATTGAAATGTTTGCCAATTCCCAGCTCTAGTGACAGGAAAGAGGATGTGTGCATTTGTCTGTGTCAGGGCACTGACTCTTTTTTTTGGTAACATGAATTGCAGGTGGACTGGCACTGCGGCATCTTGGACAGGTGAGGCTGAGGGAGTTGCCTGAGTGGCTGGCCTGCAAAACCCCCAGATGTCCAAGAGATGCCTTGGAAATGGTCCACAGAGGTCAGTATCACACACATCTCACAGAGATACATGTGTTACTCTGAGAGATTAGCTGCTACCCCTGTCTCCAGTCTTTATGCTAAGCTAACCAGCTGCTGGCTCCAGCTTTATATTTACATTACAGTTATTAGAGCAGTGTTTATCTTTTCATCTGACTCTCAGCAAGAATGTAAATAATCCTACTTCCAAAATGTCAAACTACCACTATTCTAGTAAAAAATGTGAGTATGAAGTTGTACATGTTTGTGATTCCTCTCATCTCCATTGCTTCCCTCAGGCTGGCAGTGGTATTACAGGAGGTATATTGATGTTAAGAAAGGAGGTGTAAGTGGAGTGGGCATGTTGTTAGCAGGATACTGTGTGCTCAGCTACATCTGGAGCTACCCTCACATAAGTAAGTGTGTGGATCACTCTCAACATTGCTTCATGTAATGATCATTGATTTAGACATAACTGGAAGCTGGGTTTTTTTCCGCAGAACGTGATCGCTGGAGGAAGTACCACTGAGGTCAGGGGAGGGTGTTCCACAAGTGGGACTCTGAAGTAAGCGGCACATTTGGCAGAAAGATCATTGTTGTTCAGGTTAAACACACAACATGTTAATTAGTGAGCATTAGTAGGCAGATTTTGTTAGCATTTGACAGAGCCAGGCTCACTTTTACCTGTTTTCAGTCTTTATCCTAGCTAAGCTAAGCAGCTACTGGTTGGTGCCTTGTATTTCTCAGACATGAGAGCATGAAGTCAGTTTTCTTATGTAACTCTTCTTCAGAATGTGAATTTGCCTAAGATGTTGAACTGTTCCTTCCTCCAGTACTAGTAGTTTCACTCTCATCTGACTTCAGAAAGCCAGCTGGTGTTTCACTGCAATTTAGATGCGTTTGAGACAAATTTCTGATGTATTTATCTGTATTTATCTTATTTAGTTTTATATTGGGGAGGGAATACATAGAGAACTACTAAAATGACTTGTTTAGGTTTTCTGTGACCAAAACCAGTTCTGGTTCCATCTTGAGATGGAATCACTTCAGTTTATGGTGAGAGGAATTATGTGGACATCTGTAGCCATGTATTGCAGCCCCGCTGTGTGCCCCAGGGACTCCACTAGGTGTCACTGTTGGGTTGTGTTACCAAAGCCAAAAGGGCTTGGCAGTCAAATATTTGCTATGCAGAGTTTTCTTAGCGCCTTTGTGCAGAGGCACTGGTGCTGGGGTCCATGAGAGGATTAGAGGGAACCAATAGATTTTTAAGATGATAAAATCTCACTGTGGCAGCTGAGCTGTGGAAAAACATGAAATTTGAAATGTCCTGACTCAGTATCTTAGAAAAGATCTTATGTGTATAGCAGAGGGTCACAAATCTGTTGTTCTCTTGCAAAATGTTTCTCCCATCACATGATGTTATCATGCTTGCTTAGTCCGTCAGTGCCAGAATGTGAACGCTCGCAGAATAGTAATGGAGGAGGGATGAAGGAGGTTCTCAGCCAGACTGGACCAGTTTGTTACTGTGTTCAAAATGAATTTATTGTTGCCTCTCTTAGCTGCTGTAGTGAACACACATTAGCTACAAATCAAGAAATGACCATTTTTGTAATGTTTTTTCTTGGCGCTGTTTTTTAGCCAACACAATAAAAAATAAGTTTGTCCTTCTTTAACATTCTTTTTTCTCTATACAAAATTATAAATATTTTGTTTCACTTTTCATTTTTATACAAAATAAACTATACAAATCAAGTGAGACAAAACAGTGAAAATAAAGACAGAAAAACAAACTAGGAGGGGAGGGAGGGGGCACAGTCTGTTCGTACCAGGCCCTCAGACACTGATGTGCATCCACATAACACAGCCGTACATGCACAACAAACTTTCTTGTGGATGTAAGTGCTACAGAGGTACAAAATCTTGCAAGCAACCACGTTAACTTACCAATGTCACCTTACGTTTGCATGCCATTAGAGATTTCCCTTCCAAGCACAGGGCCCAGTTTTCTCAGTGTATGCTAGTAGATGTGGGCTGCAGTGGCTACTGGCATTCATACACTCAAAAAACAGATGTGTTCCCTAACACCCCATATCAAAGGCCTTCAGTTTGCTCCTATAGCCTGTTGGCAAGTATATTTCACAGACACATTTATAAGAGAACGGTGGCACTATCCAGAAACAACCCAGAGAGAAATTAACCTAAGCTTTGGTCCTGTTTTGAGTTTGGCAGAAATCACCCTTTCTTGCTTACACTATAGTGCAGATTTCTATAAACGTTTTCACATAATTGTTATACCAAACACATAAATGCATGGCCAGTATTTAGGATTAATTCTTTATCAAAATGTAATATGACAGTAAGTTAGGTTTTGGCTCCAAAAGTTAAATGAAAACTCAAAAGTACTCAGACAAAACCAAAGTTATTTTAGCTGCACAGTTTCAGGATTTTGTAAACAGCTCAACTAACTAAGCTCTGAGGGTGATTCTGGACAATACTGTACCCTCTCCTATTAATTTTGGTTGTGCTGCTAAGAGGGAAATGAGTGGAACTGAATAGGGGGGGGAAACAACCCCTGGGGTATGAGCGAACAAAGTCAAGAGTATGGCAATTGAACAACCAAACTACATGAAAACGCAGTTGCAGACCAGTGTGTGTGTGTATGCAGATTAACAAGCACATGATTTTAAAGTAATCAAGCAAGATATGACCAATATATAATTAAAGGCAGACAAACCTACGCACAGTCAGTGACCCTACAAGGTCATTTACGGTATCATCATCCTTACAAAACTTGGGAACACATCACAATGAACAAAACGGTTGTCTTTTTAATGTCATTTGAAAACATTTGAAATTAAAAATCTAAATAAAAAGATAAACATATTGCAACATGACTTCCTCAATCTGAGGACTTTGCTCCACTGACACAAACACACTGAAATGATAGAAGTGGTCGAGATCGAGATTTGTCCGGTGTCTGTGTCAGGGCTTGCATACCTTTAAGGTACAAAAGAAAAATGCCAAGGAAAATGTGACTTAAGCACCAAAACAAAAGCACTGTCAGGTACCGTGTATGTCTGTGTGACAACTATGACTGATTTCTAGTGTGACGAAGAGGTTACCCTTGTTAAAGGCAGCAGAAAGAAGTAAAATATATTTTGGTTCTGTTCCAAATGTTCTCATTGTGTTTAGCCTAGCGTACTGTACACTGCAGCTTCATAATCATATAGTTCCTGAAGTAAGTAATAGCAGGTTTAGTGCAATTTTTCTATGTAAATGTGTCTCCACTGAGCTTACCCTAAGAAAAACCTCTGGCTCTGAATCATAACCTACTTACCACGTTGTACTAAAGCATATGTGTGTGTGAACTGTTTCATGTTTGTAATGCAGCAAGGAAACAAGTGAATGGATATTTTTGAATAGAGCTTCTTCATGTAAACATTTTAAAATAAAGACCTAAAATTAGGCACAGAGTCGCCATTTTGGCCCTGTTTTTCAGCATAGGTGGCAGGAGTAATTAGCTGGCACGAAATATTCATGGTGTGTGTAAATGTGTGTGAAGAGAGGGACATTTGTATTGAAGCTACTGAGTCCCTACCCTTTTAAAACAATGTTTTAAAAAAACAAACAAAAAAAAGAGATCATGTTCCATCTGTTAGTCCACTGCATTGCACACATTCCCGGATCTTTATAGGTAATTATAAGTGCCAGTATTCACCTTGATGGAGTCACTAACTCCTGCCTCATCCTGGACCCCCCCCCAAAAAAATAAATAAATAAACAAAAACAAACCTGGGTAATCTAATGTAAAAGGTGACAGATAATGGATCTTCATCGTGTACACCATCCCGCACAATGTG